ACCCGGGCGTCCCATGGGACAGCAAGCGGCTGCTCGCTGATATGAAAAGGACGGGGCATGGAACAGCCAGCTCTGAGATGCTGAACACAAGCAAGCAGCCGTTACTATGGCAACAGACATATTAGACACTGCAGGTTCCTGAAAGGCGTCTGATAAGGTATTATTAACTGGAGCCTCCTCCAAACGCCGAGCGCAAAGACACTGTGTCGAAAGGAACCTGGATCCCATTTACTGGACTGCAATTCCCTCGCGGTGGCACCAAGACCCAATTCACGCGCCAGACCGGGACGAGAATCTTGGCTAGAATGAGCAAAATTAGGAACCTTTGATGCTACCACATTCTGCACAAGCCATACTGGTTTCTCAAAATATTTGTCATTTAATGCAAAAAAGACCTGCCTTCTTGACCCACATGCTGTTTGACTTGCGGCAGGAGAGGCAGTCTTCCTCCCCAGACTTAACCCTGGGTGCCAAAGGAAACAGCTGCTCAGCGGCAGCAGCAATGGCAAGTGGGAAGGCCAGAAACAAGGAAGAGGATGAGCTTCGTGGCTCAGCTGGTCTCCACGGTTCTGAGCAGAAGTCCCACAGCAGGACGAGACCCTGCTCCAGCACAGGAGATGCGCTCACCTAAGGGGACTGTCCTCTGCAGTACTGCAGTTGCTTTGGCTGCCTCCTCTGCGGGGTGTCCCCAGCTCCTTAATGAGTGGCTTCTGGCAGTCTCCCTGTATCCTGGAGGACAGACCGGCGCAGGCCGAGAGGATGGACCAGCCCAACAACACCCATTCCAGACTGCCTGTTCTGCTGACAGCCCAGCTCAGAAATGAACCATTTCACACCAGTGTAACAGATACCCTTAGCAAACTGGTTACGCTTGCTGGCGTAAGGAAGGGGCTCAGCTTCTGCTCAGTGGTCTTGTGAGGTCAAAATGTCTTCCATCAATTTAGTTAGAAGCTAACGAGAACCAGTGAAGTCCTCAGAAGGTATTTACACACTAAGCACCATCAATCCAAATGGATGCAGGTCGCAGAGACCGAGGTCTTTGTGACGGGACAGATCCCTGACCCAGGCACACGAGTGCTCGCCAGAGCAGAGCGGAGCCCTGACAGAGCCTGTGGGCACAGCCGGCTTCACAGGGTTACTGAACTGCTGTCCCTCCCTCTATTTTGTTGTTTAGAGAGGGCTGGGACCTGTCAGCCTGGCTGGATTTTTAAGGTTCTTGGGGCAGACGTGGTTCTCACGGTCGGTGGGGAGCTTTGGTCCAACTGTGGCCTCCATGAGCCTTCGCAGCACCTTCGGGTCCTGCGGAGCACGATGAGGCCGAGAGAGGGGACAAAGAAACAAGACGACAGGTGGCTGGTAAAGGCAAGTGAGAAGATAAAAAGCATAAAGGCATTTGAGAAGAAACCACAAGAGGTCTGGAAGGGTGACAGAAAGAGAAGACGAGAGAACTGTAAGAGAAAAGCTGGGCAACGCTGCATGTGCTTGCTCAGATGATGTCAGAGGAAGCGAGTTGATAAAGAACACTAGTATTACGACAAACAGTGTTATTCGCCTCCACTGTCAGGAATCATCAGTGAAAGGAGAAAACAAGCAGAAACAGGGTGCAAGAAAAAAAACTCACAAAGAGAAAGAACCGACAGGAATCAAAACACACACTCACTATATACTTGGCGACAAGTTCTTAAATACAGACACAACCTTGCCTTGAAGATTATACCACAGAAATAACAGTGTAGCAATCTGACAATACATCCCATTTGTGAATTTAGAAGGGTTTTTGAAAATGTGCCTTATTAATTCTACCTGTATCTTAAACTGACACTAGGCAAATGGAAAGGCGCACTCATGTGAAACCTATGAAAAGGGAATTAATGAAAGAAACATTCTGGGATTCAAAAATGTCATTTACTGAAGCAAGTTCCTGAGTGCTGGAGAGTGGGGCAAGCCTTTATAAATATTTTTGCACCGTGACAGCACGTAAAAGTCCTGCGGAAGAGGTCCAGCAGCTGCAGACACGACCACACGTGTGCCAGTAGCAGAGAGAGACTCTGGGTCAGCGGCTCTGGGGTAGAGCAAGCCAGAGCACAAGCCCAGATCTCCCAAATGAGAACTTAAACACTGCACTGTTAATTTACTACTTCTCACCAAGCACTGGCTCTTGACCTGGATGCCTTTCGTTCCTCAGAGGTGGTGCTGGAGGAGGATTCCCACGCTAGGTGCTAAAACAAGGATGTGCAGGATAGAACAAGAGCCTGGTGCAAACATGCGTGTGCCGAACCTCAACCTGCTGACAGAAGTTTCTGGTCCCCATCAGAACATTGCAATAGCAATCACAATCTGTACACAGGCACAACGTTGTTTGACAAAGAACTTGAGAAGCAGAGTTGTTACAAGTTCGGAGCTCTACGTGAAGACAGTCGACTTTATCTCGCCCACTTTCACTCCACACTTCAGTGGCTAACTTCCTACTTCAGAGAATTTTAGCTGCCTATGCCTAAATTTTAATTTAAAACCAGGCATTTCCAAACATTTTAAAAACAGGACTTGAAACAGTAGCTGCAATATTCAACAATCCCTGAAGGTTCCACCTCCCTTGGGCCAAGGGCAGCACATCCCTTGCTTGTTCAGGTTACCCTGAAAAAAGACAACTGTAACACAAGAAAAGCAATGTAATTTTGGATGGAGCGCCTCTTCACAGAAGTAACAGATCCAACTTATCTCATACGACCACAACAATGATCCTCATTAAGTGAACGAAGCGCTGAACACGGGCAGCACAATAGGACTGTCTCCCCTCCATGAGATGAGACTGCCAAGGGAAGTTACTCTATTGGTTCTTAAAATCATATTTTAAGCAGAAACCTGGTATCTAATTTCCTGTAATGCTACCTTAATCACCCTGTCTGTCTGTCTTGGGAAGCGCTCATCCACACACGAGCACTTTCTCTCTGCAACAGGAGCAGCACAGCGCATCAGCTACCGCACCTCCCAGAAGCTTCTGTGCAAACTGCGGTCCCGAGCAATGACCTCAGTAGTTAAAGGAAATCGTATTTATTCTAATCTCTTCACAGGGAAATTAGTCAACACCGCAACATTGCCAGTTTACACAGTGCTCAAGCACGGACAAGATGGTCTCTGCAGACAAAACATGCAGGGATGGGAAAAACCCCGATGACGGAGCCCTGACAGATGAAGGAGCTGCCCACTGCAGCAAGGTTAGCCCGCGCGGGTCAGGCCATCCCTTCACTCCTCATCTGTGCTAGGAAGGCAGCAGACATGCCTGATACGCAGCCACTTACCGTCATGATGAGTTTCTCGACACAGTCAGGTGACACACTGTGCAGATGGGTGAGGTGCAGCTGCAGATGGATCTTGTTGTTGAGCATGTCCTGGCAGAGTGGGCAGCGGAGCATGGGCTGCACTGAGTGCTGGGTCATGGCGTGCACCCGCAGGCGGTTCACGTCTGTGTTACTGTACTTGCAGTATGGACACTGATACATCTGCAGAGCAAGACAAATGAATCATGCAATTGTTACAGCTGCTGCTTTCCTCTTTCCTTACAGCTAGACTTTAACAATTCAATGCCTTCTACCACCAGTTATCTCCTTTCATCCTCCTCCTCCTATTTTATTCCTTGCTTTTGGCACATATGAAACAAATGACCTGCTTGCAGATGCACAAAAAAGCTCGGTTCTTCTTCCTTACCTGCTCTGATTTGGTCTCCTCTGAAGTTTTTGACCATTTAAAAGAGAGAGGCGACTCAGAGCTGCTGGGAAATGATACTCGTTTAGAGGATGCTGGAGGCTCTGTCAGCTCCTTCTCTGCCTGGCTGGCTGGCGCTGCAATGAAAAGAGATTTACATTAGGACAACCCAAAAGAGGCTTAGGTTGGAGCAAGACAGTACTGCCATTTACTCTGGTGTTCTTTCTTGAAACACATCGCAAGGTGTTGGAGGAGGATGAGTTCAGGGACCAACTTGCATCCGACAAAGCACACCTGGCCAAAAGGAGTTTATTCTGGATTGTCTTCCCTAGTAAGGGAACTGTGTCATTTGTAGCTAGAAGCAGAGAAAGCTGTTTCTGTGGGGTCCTTACAACCTGTTAGGTGCAGGAGAGTCCTGCCCTGTGTTTATGTCGGACACACAAATGCTTGGCCAGACACGAAGGCTAATGTGTCATCTCCAGGAGCACTTGGACTGACTCAACAATGCATGATTTGCATATGAATGCTTTGGGATATGTTTGCCCTGGAAATGGCTGGAAGCTGTGGCCATCAACCCTACTGACTTGCTGTGTACCTGGACAGCAGCGGCCAGCCCAGCCCAGGTGCCTCTGAGGGTACGTCCCACCAAAACCAGGATGGCCGACCGGCCGCAGGACCCAACCTACAGCCAGTGCTGGGACGAGACCCGGACGATCTCACGCTGTAACAAGCTGAGGAAAGGGGATTTTATTTCAGAAAAGGCAAAGGAGCCCAGAAGTCAACAGCAAAACACTGTGCAAGTTGAGGCACTCCGAGAAGCACATCCCTGACCTTTACCCCTCCCCCGAACCCTGGCAGCCTGCAGTACATAAATTTGTGGGACATCTATTATTTAAAAACTGTAAGGACAAGTATATTATACACAGCCCCCGTCTCCTCCTCCCCGAACACACATTCATAACAGTACTTTAATCTGTCTCGAATCGACTTCAAACCCATTTCGCCCTTAATGGGAGTTATTCATTTTCACTTGAAAGGTAATATATGACAGCTGGATATTTAATATGATGGATCGGCTGCCGATTAACAAGGCACTGTAGCATTCTTAGACCGGTCCCCCCATACTCTTCTCCTTGTCTCTTATTCTCTTTGTGAACCCGCCGCTATCCGCTCCTTGTTTCAGAGGATGCCGTCAGAGCAAGATCCGGGTGAACTGCTTCCTTCTCAAAGATCCTGCTTCCATTCCCTGACACGAGCGGTGTTTTGAAAGGTACCACATCACAGTAAGAAATACAATCCCCATTTCTAACCTCCTTCCCTGCCAGACTCCACCTCTAAGCATTCAGCTAAACAGAGGCAAAATAACTTCCAGGAGAGGGAAAACAGGTATTGCAAACAGATCACAATACTGCCAGAGGGAGATGGGGTAGCTCTGGTGCTACTAAATTTCTCCTGGTAGGCTTGGCCATGCCAAAGCCTGCTTCGAGGTGATTGCCTTCCCCGCAGCACGCCTGGTATCTCAGCCCTGGCTGGTTACACAGCCTCCATGCACAGATGGGAAGTCCAGGCTGTACCTGAAACCAAAACCACATGACCCCAGCAAGCTGCCAACTCCATTAAAATGTCCAAACCTCAAGTTTCCAGCGTAAAACAAGTCTGTGGTGTCAGGGCTGACTTACGGACACCAATGCTAATTCTCTGCCCCCTGCACGGAACGATGGGCCGCTTCTCAGGTCAATCTGCTGGCTGAACCCGAGGCTCTCCCTGGGGTCAGAACTGCAAAGTCAATAAAGATGCCTACAGGACCAAAGCTGGTCTCCCTTACTTCCTACTAATAAGACGTGCTTGGAGCATGTGAAATACGACACGACCCCAGACTCCCCTGCGCTGCTCCTCTGCTGAGGAAAGCGGTCCCTCCCGGTGGGTTTGGGGAGGTGGAGACCACCACTGCGTCCCAACACCATGACAGGTGGAGGACCACCTTCCCTTAAAATACCCTGCCGAAGCCTTGTGTGATGTGAGTGGCCCCAATGAAGAGGCTAATTGCTGTTGACATCGTCCACTCCTCAGCGTGACCTCGGACAGTGAAGTGTCAGCCCCAATCAGGCAGTCAGGCATCAGGACCAGCGCCTGGAGACCCCAGGTCTGCCAGCACGGTCACGCAGCCATGCAAACTCTGCTCCAGCCCTGCACTGGGCTGGGCTGACAATGCCAGCCATGACTTTGGGTCCCCTTCCACTTCTCTGCCCCAGACGGTGATTGTGCCTCCTCCGTGGTCCAGGCAGGGTCTCTCTAAGCTCTGTGTCTGTCAACTGCTGCTTCAAACCTTCGCGTGTCATCTGCTCTGCAAACCTCCTGACAAGTGCTGCCACGAGCTGTGCTGGCACTGCCAGCCTGCAAGAGGGGCAGCGGACGCAAGGGAGGAAAAGGGATGACTGGAGAAACCTCTGCTCATGGACATGGACCACCTTTCCAAATAAAGTATGACAGCACTTTCAGTTTTGGCAAGAGAGCAAGAACCAGGGAACACCTACAGAACCGCGTTAATAAACCCAGGTGAGCCTTGGACACTCAGAACACGGGTGTCCGCACCCGTGGTGGGATCTGCGCTGGAACAGTGAGGTACGAGGAGCTCTGGGAGCTCCTGGACCTCACCCTCTGCCACCAACTTCACTGTGCACCACCTCCAGCAGCTCACCAACGTGATATTTTCAGATGCAGTGACTAAATTCAGCAACCCAACTGGCAACTAGCCTGCAGCTGCTGAACACTAGCCATAACCTCTCGAGTCACGACAGGGTATTTTCTTACTTCCTTTCTGCTGGGAAGCAGCCTGCTTAGAATTAGGGAAAAGTAAAAGGTAATTAAAATTTACTTTCACTTACCATCTCCAAAGTGCCCAATTTTATTGAATGCACTTGATCCAACCCGTAACTTTAATCCTTCAAAACCACAATTATTAATGATTGTCCAGACCCCAGAATAACTGGTTTGTGGCAGAGTTCTGAAATAAGAACACTGAATATTTGTTCTAAGTGTCATTTTTTGAGTTGACAGCTCAAGTGGGAATTTTAACACTAAGACCAAAGTTTATTGTTGATAAACAGCCAAACACATGAAGTGACACATTCAGTCCACATCACAGATCAGAGGAATTAAGAACTCTCTTCTGCCTGGAGAAATGAGGACATGCAGCTCTGCACCTGCCTGCAGAGCTCTCCAGCAGCTGCGCAGGAGCTTCGCCTCTGCGTGGAGTGGACGGGACAAAGCGTCCTCGGCCCCGAATGGCAGCTCGGCACCACAGAAGGTGAAGCACAGTGCCCGTGCCCTAATCATGTCCAACATCACGCTTGGAGGTCCAGGCCGTGCACAAAAGAAAAAGGAATCTGGGTTTAAAGTATGATGTATGACTATGTATCCATAAGTATTTTTATTATTTTGACCCTTTAAAAGGATTTAGTGCAGATTTGCTGACTTTAGAGAAAAATCTGCATTTCTCAACAAATGTACCTGAAAGCCAAGCGCAACGGGATGGTGCGGCTGCAGGCGGGATGGCCTACCACAGCACTTCCTGGAGACATACTTGTCTTCTCGCTCTTCCTTGGCAGCTTCTGCTTTTCAGGAAGAGTAATCCTCCCAGGCGTTATTTCAGAGGTGAGATGGGATGCTTGCTTGGAAGTGGGAAACCTTTCCTTTGCTCGGTCCAGAGGCAAAACTGGCCAGGGTCCCCAAAGCTGCCTGCTCTCCATCCTGGTGGGAACAGAGTCACCACCCCACCTCCCAGCCATCAGGTTCTTTTAGCTAAAGTACCACTGACAGCCCCTTCATCTAAACTTCCATCTCCCAACCCAGCAACATAATGGAGAAGCCAATTAAATGATTATTAATTCATGCTGCTTTCCGTAAGCCAGAGGTTCTCATCTCCCTGCATTCCGTAAACCAGCTTGCCACTTGCCCTAGAAATTTACAGTGGGGTTTCTGCTATCTCCATTGATTTAAAAAACAACACCCTCCCCGCCCCCAGTCTACTGAAAAAAACCCTTTCCTACTAAGTTCAGCAACCGGCCTGGGAAAAAGTTTTCAGTGGGACCAGGGAACTGTGTTTTCACTGCCCGATGGAAAATAAAATTCCATATTTGGTGGTGCCTCCCTCTTCAAACCTCCCCTGATGTTTTCTTGGAGCAATTACTCAGCATCACAAGCCCTTGGACCAGACCGACCTGCCTGCCATTCCTGCACAGCCCTGCAGCTGGGAATGCCCGCAACGGCAGCTGTCACCCCTGCATGGGTCTCACGGAGCAGCATCCTTAAAACAGCTGCGGTTTTTCTCCCGAAATCCCGAGACAGGAGCGGACTGGTTTATCTGTTTTCATGCTCACGCAGACTTCACCACGGGTGGTGGGCAAGGCCAGGCGCCGTGGTCCAAACCCACCTGCGCAGCTCCATTACCAGCAGCGCAGGAGCCGGGAATAACGGCGCACAACGGTTCGGTCTCAGCCTCTCTGGCAGACGGCTGCTATCCCACAGAAACACAGGGTTTGTATTAATACAGCAAGAATAGCTGAGCAGGTACCTTCACCGAGAGACCACGGCGACGCCGAAGCAGGGCTCTGGCCTGCACGATAGGCACCTGGGCATCCAACACTGATACAGCGCTGCCCGTTCGTTACCTCCTGTCTTAATAATATAGGGTCGGATGTTTCTTTCTGAAACACTGTCTGTTTACATTCCTTATTCCCTGAAGGTACCATTCGTTCTAATAAGATGTTGTAGCCATACTAACAGGCCTGTATATTGCCTGTTGCTCTACAGTATTTTTTTCAACTCTGTACTTGATAAATAACGTGGTCGCATGATAGACAGAAGTAAACACACCGAGATTTGCAAGCACGCTTTTGCACCCAGACCTTTATTGCTGCCTTTCAGAAACGTGGCTCTGAAAATGGCCAAATAATTTGTTTTTCTAATGCTGCGTCATACCTTCCAGCCTGCAGTGAGTATGAACAACTGAATTACTATTAAATATTCATTTCACAGTACCCAGAAGCCCTGGCCGCCACACTCTGTACAAACACAAGAGCACCCAGAAAACGTCGCGGTGACACCCCAGGCAGCACCAGGGGCACGTGGAGGCAGC